GGCCATTTTAGCCATGGTGGTTTCTTGCACAAGAAATTCATGTTGCCTGTCTACACTGCCTTCTTGTGCAAGAGCTCTTGCGCAAGAGGGCTTCTTCCTCATGGGAGGAGGAATAACTTCTGGAAGAAGCCCTATTTTCCAACGCTGCACTGTAAATTTACTTGCGCAAGAACGTGCATGAAGTGTAGACACCCAGCAAGTTTTTGCGCAAGAAGGGCTGTTCTTGCGCAAGAAGCCGCCAGTGTAGATGTAGCCTCAGGGTTTTAGCTCTGTGCTAGAAGACTGACCCGGCCTCGCTCAGGTCTTTCTCCCCCGTAATTTTTGTTTTTTGGATAATAGAATGAAAATGTCCAGGCTTCATTTCAATCGTTGCTCTGGGCTGGGGCGGGGAGGAGGGGTGCAGTGTGCAGGCTGCCCCAGGCAGAGAGGACAGCCCCAGCCTTCTCTCACCACAGCAGCTTGGGGACAGCTGAGAAGCTCCTCTCCGTGGCTGCTGCAGCTCCATTGAGCACTGCTGGGGGAGAGGTGAATGTCCCTCAGCTGGGTCAGGTCCAGGTTCATCTGCCCCTCTACGCTCCCCAGCCAGAGTGAGGTATGGAGCAAACTGTGCACTTTCCCTGCATTCTTTGATGAAGCTGGCTATGTTCCCATGTGAATCAGGGGAGGGGGAGCTTCAGCCCTGCTGCCAACCCTAAAGGGCACCTAGGGAGTGGGAGACTTGGCGGTCCTGGAAGGTTGGGTACCCCCAGCCAGCCCCTTTCACCTGCCTAGTGGTTCTATTTTCCGTAGGGTTTCTGAGAACCAATCCCATTCCAGGCACATCCCATTATCCTGGCACACCCAAACCCTGACCTTGCTCTAAGTTAGGATAAGAGGAAGCTGTATGTCAGATTTGGTGGTCGTATCTCTTACCGTTTAGGAGGAGTTCTTGAATAGACAGTCAGTCAGACAGATAGGTTCTCTCAAATATATAGTAGATGTGCCAGGCATATTTTACTTCTGAGGGATGTTTGTACCTTCCCCAGGCAACCTGCGTTTCTGACCCCTACGTGCATTTAAACCCTCGTTCTATTTTCCTTCTTTCAGAGAATTTCACACTAGCACAAGGTGTGGCATTGGCAGCCCCACACAGGGCTGGCCCACAACATTTTGGTACCTGAGGCGGGGAGTTCAAATGAAGCCCCCATGGCCCCTTTTCTCCTGCCTTCCTGTTATGTCTCTTGGGCCCTCCCTCCTCCAGCACACACTCCAGCATCTCTGGGCATCTGGAGCAGAGAGAATACCTATTCACCAGCAGCAGACACAATTTCCTACACTCTGGGTCCTAGTGGTGCCCCCCCAGTTCACCTCATGGTAAGGCCAGCCCTGGCTACACAGAACACACACAGCCAGGCAAGCATTCCCCGTGCCACCACGTGGGTACGCCTCAGCGGAGAGGGATCCCCTCCAGAGCTGAGAGAGGCATTTATGGCTTGCTTGGTCCCTGACATGCCAGCATGGGTTCTAGCTGGTTGCAGTTCTGATGTTAGGGAAGCAATCTGATGTCAGTGGGTATCTGATCCATTAGGAACTAGGGATGTTAGTGTGTTGTCATTTACATGATTAGCTGGTAAACCTGGATTTATTGGTTAATCCCAACGATTGCACACACACCCTCCCCTCCCACTGCCTCTGTATCAGAGGCAGGAAGGGGGGGGGGGGGCAAGAGGGAGCTGGTGTTCGGGGGAGAGCCAGCTTAAAAGTTGGCTTCCTGTGGGCACTGGCTCCTGCCTGCCTCCCCTGCTTGCAGGTAAACGTGTAACCACTACAAAATCCAGTGGTTGCACATTTACACACATACACTTTAACATCCCTGTTAGGAACTGGGACCACCATCTGGTTGGTCATTAGCCTCTGAGAAATGAGTTTGAGGGTACAGGTTGACCCTTGCTTGTCTGGCACCATCAGGACCTGGCCAGTGCCAAAGCAGAGAATTTGCCAGACCATGGGAGGTCAATATTGTCTAGCACAGGGCTACTCAACTTTGGAAACCCCGGGAGCCACAGTGATACTCCCAGCACATGCCGAGGGCCGCAACTTAAGTGTGGTTCTATATACATGCAAATATATATGCAAATAGTTTCTTTCACACTGACAGGCATGAATACAAAGCACTTCCCTGCGCTCCCGGCACCTCTTCCCTGGAGGCTAGAAACGCTGATACCCCGTACTCGTCTGTTCCACTGCTCACCCTGCCTGGGAGATGCCTTGCCGTTGTGGAGCATTTTCCCAGTGGAGGCCACATTCAAAGGATTCCACCCGTGGGCCGCATGTTGAGGCCCGCGTAAACCCAAACCTCATCATGGGCCGTAGGTCGCATGTGGCCTATGGGCCGCATGTCGAGTAGCCCTGGTTTAGCAGCATCACCAACACTTCCACTGCTTCCTGGGCTTTAAGAAGACATTTAGGGGTAAATTAGAGCAAAATCACAGCACAGAACACTGAGCGATAGTAGTGGGGGGCTGTAAACAAACTTTCTGGGACCGCAGGAAACTTGGCCACACCCATGATACGTGGACAGCCAGCTCACTAACATCATGCCGGACCACGGATGTTGCTGGACCAGAGAGTGCCAGAGAAGAAAAGTTCAACCTGTAGCAACATCTGGTCCTGGCTGAATTCAAACCTAGAAGTAAAGGGTTGAGCATTCCCATTTCCAGTCACATGAGCTCTCTTGCTACCCGTGCGCTGCCCCCTGTGCAGTAGTATCCCAGCCCGGATGTGTGTGTCATAAAGTTGGTAATAAATGATTTCTGACAAGAGAATGAATTGCTTTGGGAGGAAACGAAAGTCTAAATTCTGCGAGCGGAGGAACATGTTTGCATGCTATGTTTTAGCCCGATGATAACGTGGCACACTTAGGCTACGTCTACACTGCACCTCTCGCGCAAAAGCCTATGCAAATGAAGCACGGATTAGCATATTGCTGAATGTCATTTGCATAATTAATTAGGGGCCATTTTCACGCAAGAGGCTTTTGCACAAAAAGGAGCTGTGTAAATGGCTCCTTTTTGCGCAAAATCCCCTCTTGTGCAGGAGCCGTTCCTGAAAAAAATGAGGAAAAACAGCTCTTGCACAAGAGGGGTTTTTGCGTAAAAGGGAGCCATCTACACAGCTCCTTTTTGTGCAAAAGCCTCTTGTGCAAAATGCCCCTAATTAATTATGCAAATGAAGTGTGGCAATATGCTAATCCGTGCTTCATTTGCATAGGCTTTTGCGCAAGAGAGGTGCCGTGTAGATGTAGCCTTAAATGTGAATCTGTTCACACTGTTTGCAGTAAGAATCCCATGGCTTCATAAACCATCCCTGGGTATAGAACTGAGACTCATCTATGCCAGAGAATTATCCTCTGGCCCTTTATTCCTGCATGCTAGGGATAGTTCAAAATACATGAGCACAAGTAGTATGTGTGATCAGGCCTGCCCCACCTTCTGCAAAGAGATCACTGAGTGCAAATTTGGAAGCTGGAGGTTTCCAAATATGTGCGGCTGGAATAAGAGGGTGAGCTAGGCAGCATATTTTGGGTGTGGGCCCATTGTTGGCTGAAGACACAAGGAACACGTAGATCTGTATAGATTGCTGATAAGATTTATGGATTCACATTTTCCTCTTTTGAATATTTGTGTGCAAAATAAAAATAGGCCCACTGAAGCATGTGCCAAGGTTGTGGCTTGGCTCTGCAAACCCACATACAAGTGGCACAAAAATGCATTGCATGGTGAGGCATCAAGGAGACAAAGAGCAGGCACAACAGTGTGATTAAGGAGTTGCAAATAACTTAACTGATAGGGATGTGAAGGAGTAACCGGTTAACCAGTAATCATTACCTTACCGGCGTGCTTACTGGGGTTACCTGCTGCTCCAGCAGCCCACAGTGCAACATGGTCGGCCAGTTTACCAGTTAAACATATACTTCAGTTTAATTAGTTAACATTTTAAATAGGATTTTGCATCCTTATTAACTGGTGGTTTCGCTTCGCTGACAGCTCAAAAAAATTAAAATAGTGAAAGTGAATTTTTGGCGTGAGTGCCTGGGCGGGGAGGAAGTTCTTGCAAATTGAAAGAGGCAGGAAAACGTTGGCTTCAAATGAAGCATTTCATGTTGGTCATTTTTAACGCTGTAACATTCATAAAAGGGAGGTGCCGTGCCCCTCTTGTAACTTGTTAAAGTGCTCAGTTGGGACCTAGGAGACCCAGTTTTGAATCTTTGCTCTGGACCTGGAATTTGAATGCCCGTTGCCCACATCCTATGTGAGTGCCGTAAACAGTGGGGTATGTGCTATCCTGGAGTGGGGGGCCTCTCCATCTGTTTTGTTAAAGTTGTTCTATCTACTAAGTAGTTTAGAGAGTTTGTGCATCTGTGGGCACATCTGGAACCCTCAAAGACCCTCTTCCTCAAAGAATTTACAGCGGTTTTGAAAGAACCGCGTCTAGATTGCTTGCTTTTTTGAAAAAAAAACCCCTCTTTCGAAAAAGCAATCAGAAGATATGCAAATTTGCACCAAATTTGCATATCTTCTTTCAAAAGAAAAACGTAGTCTAGACGTGCCCTGACTGTCTTTCTGTCCGTCCATCTGTGAGCCTGTTTGTTCAAGAACTCCTCCTCCTAAACAGTAAGAGCTAAGACCACCAAATTTGCTATTTAACTTTCTCTTATCCTAACTTAAAGCAAGGTCAGGGATTGGTTGTGCCAGGAGAATGGGATGTGCCTGGAATGGAATTGTTTCTCATAAAATGGAAAGGGAGGGGTCTGGTAGGCAGGCGTTATACTGCAGAATGACCACAAGGGGGCACCAAGGGGACTGGAACAGTTATAACGCCATTGGGTTGACGGAGCAGGGATGGAGGAAGGGACTATTATTTTTGGGTAGATGGTAAAGAGAAAGAACATGAAATTGCTAGAATTCTGTGCAAGAAAAAAAAAAGGATTGCAATGTCTCTTTTTGCATGACTTTTCACAGATCAACAGGGCTCTGAAACCTGGCCCTCCCATCAATCCCTGCAAGAGATCAAAAGGAAGAGAAACAGCCAAAGCATTACAAGATTTTTCTTGCCCGCTGCGCACATCCAAGGAGCAGTCCTCTCCAATAGGCTATCGTAAGGACCAATCTTTAGCCGCTATGTTTGTTCCTTTCGTCGTACACCCTGGGAGCCATAACCCCGATTCACTCAAGTTTGTCTTCTATAAATCGAATTACTCTAATTCGTATGCTCCGTTTTACACTGCACAGAAGCCAACCTGCGGGTACCGGTATTGCCAGGACACTGATCACACCAGGAAGGTGATAGACGTAGAGTGCGCAAACATCGTCAAGTGGAGACCCATTGTTGGGACAAAGCCACAGTTGGTTGCAATAAAACCAAAGCAAGGAAAGTGACCATGTGCCTGGCCCAAGCCTCTCGTTTGTGCAGATTTTTCTAGTGCAGTGCGTAGGTTGATCGGGTAAGGTGCAACTTACCTGGATGGCTCCAGGACACCGGGAGAGATACTGCAGGAGCTAAGCTTTCACAGCTGCATAGCAAATGACTATTATAATCGCTGCACAGATCCTCCCAGAATGCCGTGCAACAGTGTAATCCTACCGCTGCAGTTAAGTTACCCAAACTAGCCACGAGGGGGCACGTTTAATGGCGCATATTAAAATTACAGCTGGTGCCTATGAGAGCAATGGAGTGCAGACGGGCGTTAGAGAAGATGCCATTAGCTTGGGTGAACTGATCCAGGTGATGAATGTGTTGTTCTCTGAGAAATATGTTGCCTAGAGCAGAGTTTTTCAAACTAGGAGTTGTGGCCCAGTACCGGATGGTGGAATGCCAGGCGCTGGGTCTCGTTGCTGCAGGGGGATCAGGTGACCAGTGAGGGGGTTAAGGCAGCTCCCTGCCTGTCCTGTCACTGCAGATTGTGCTGTGCCCCAGAAGCGGCCGGCAGCAGACCCGGCTCCTAGGTGTGTGTGGGAGGGAGAGCACACAGGGCTCCCCGCTCTGCCACTGCCCTGAGCACCAGCTTCACTCTCCCATTGGCTGGGAATCTGCTGCTGGCTGCTTCTGGGCCACAGCATGGTCTGTGGTGCCAAGAGAGGCAGGAAGCTGCCTTAGTACCCCCGCTGCACCGCTGCCTGGGAGCCATTCAAGGCAAGCCCCTTCTACCCCAGCCCTGACCCTCCAAAGCAGGAGCCCCCTCCTATATCCCAAAGCTCCCATCCTCAGCCCCACCCCGGAGCCCACACTGCAGTCACATTATGTTGGGTCATGGGCATGACCCCTTAAATTGAAGCACTGACACTCAAGAGTGAGGTACATGAAATACGAATTCTACTGGAGCCACAACAGACTAAACTCCAGAAGTCTCGCCCCAGAGTGAGCTGGCTCGGTGTACAACCGAGGACGTATGGAATTGGTCTCTTGGTTTGGTTTCCCTAAGTCTTTGTCTGACTCTGGGGAGCATAAGAACCCCTTCATTGCTAGGCCTGGCAGACATGGTTTGGCATTGTGCTCAGGGAGGCAGAAAGCTCGTTTGTGTTTAGCGCTGTAACAGCTTAGCTTCCAAGGGCTGTCAAGACTGCACAGGGGAGCAGTTGCCTCCGTTTGCTTCATACGTTGCCCCTTTAGCACCGAATATGAGTGTGAAGGCTGTTTCCCAGGGGACCTGAGTCTCTCCAGGGGAAGCTCATACAAAGCATTGGTATTTCATATACTGTTAGCACGCCGGTGTCTCTTGCGGTACAAGCCCTCACTTCCTTTTGTTAGTAGCTTATTTTTGGCTGTCTGTGTATCTCTCAGGTCCAGCCTCTGCCTTCCATTCATCATTGGGGACTGGGGTTTGCCAGCGTGATGAGTACCCTCATGCCGAGCAGACAGCTTACAGGCCGAGGCCACGCTAGGACACAGCAGTGGGGAATGGTAAATTCCTCGCTCCCCGTCCTCCCTTGTAAGTCCAGTCAGGAGCCAAGACCTCTTTTGCTTTTTAGAGGGCAGTCCCCTAGCACTGTGAACCCGAGGCCCAATCTGTTCCCTCTTTGCAAACCCGGAGTAATTCCATTGAACCTGGATTTGAGTAAGTGGATGTTGTAGGTGTAACCCACGGCAGAAATTTGACCCTAAATGGTGCTTGTAGCAGCCCATCTGTACGGGTTGCCCTTGATTCCCAAAGCCAAAAGTAATTCGTCCAGCAGCATGAGGTGTTTCCTTGCCCTGGATATTAATCCCTCTTGCATAAGTCACCCAGTTCTGTCACTCATGGCGCAGGAAGTGCTTTGTAGTGCCCTGCAGACAGAGTGGGCCCTTCCCAAGGTGCATCCTACTGCCCATGAGTAGGAAGAGGTGTAGGCAACTAGGGAATTCCACAGGTGGCATGCAGAGGAAGGTCACTCTATTACCTTTCTGGGAGTGCTGTTGGCTCTTCCATCGGGCCGGTGTTTCCTCCTGGCAAAGGCAGAAGGAACCCTTGGCCCTACATCTTCTTCCCCCTCTCGGGGTATTGCCCCCCTCTGGGGTTGTTGTGCAGAGAATGCATTCGTTCCAGGCCCTGACATTGGTTGCACAAGGGAGGAACGTGTCTTGTGCATTCCTTCTCCCTGGAAGGGCCGGGAACCATCTGTGCCATAAATAGCTCAGGGAAGAAAGTGGAGGGAGGTGTTCGGCAGAGCCATGCTGCTTCCATCACCGGCAGACAAGGCAGGTATGCAGTGTAGGAGGTGGTCAGGGCTTCTGGTCCCATTGCAAGTGTGAGGAACATGTGCAGTCCAATGGTTAAAGTTGCTGATGAAGAATCAGACCCTGGGTCCTATGGCTGATGGTGCCTCTGAATCACTTTTGCGTAGCTTGGTTTCTTCCATATGTAAAAACTGGAAAAATACTACCACTCTGTCTTGGGAGGGACTGGGAGGTTTAACGGACTAATGTTTGCAAAGCCCTGTAAGGCACGCGGACGAGAAGAGCTCTCCGCACCCTCTTCCTGGTTAGCACAGTTTGCTTTGTAGCTGACTGGGAAAAGTTTTGCGGCTGCACGTTCCCATATCAAGCCTCCTAATATTTCTGTCCACCCTCTACCCCTGTGTTCAGCCTTATTTTATTCTTCCAGATTTTTCACTGATGTTTGCCCCGCTGGGCGTTTCTGCTGCCCATTGTCACGCTTCTGGAAAATGTCCTTGACAAAGAGTTGGTGAAGGGTAACCAATCTGTACACCTTTAATTCGGAGCCTTTCTTTTATTATTCATAACTGCATAAATGCAAGGAAAGAAGCATGAGGCCATGTGCAGAAATTGGGTTGCTTTGCCTTGCTGTGTGTAGAAGAGAAAAATATTTGAGTACAGGCCGTCCTCACTGTTGGGGTACATCTACACTACATGCCTCTGGCGACAGAGGCATGTAGGTTAGACTACCTGGCATAGGAAAAGGAAGCGGCGATTTAAATAATCGCTGCTTCATTTAAATTTAAATGGCTGCCGTGCTGAGCCAATCAGCTGTTTGTTGGCTCAGTGCGGTAGTCTGGACGCTCCATGGTCGACATCAAAGGCATTTGTCGACCTCCCTCCAGGAGGGACAAACAGCTGATTGGCTCAGCGCGCCAGCCATTTAAATTTAAATGAAGCGGCGGTTATTTAAATTGCCGCTTCATTTTCCTATGCCGGGCAGTCTAATCTACATGCCTCTGTCACCAGAGGCATGTAGTGTAGATGTACCCTAAGTCTAAGATACGGTCCAAGTACACTTGGACTTATAGCAAAAAATCTTAAAGTGGGGAATTTTTTTCCTGCACCTGACTTTCATTTGTGCCAGTTGGGTTGTGTTTTTTTGGTGTGACTTAAGAGCAGGGAATGGGAGATGACACTAAACTAAGGGGAGAGGTAGATACGCTGGAGGGCAGGAATAGGGTCCAGAGTGACCTGGATAGATTAGCGGACTGGGCCAAAAGAAATCTGATGAGGTTCAACAAGGACAAGTGTAGAGTCCTGCATTTGGGACGCAAGAATCCCAAGCATTGTGACAGACTGGGGGACTGACTGGCTAAGTAGCTGTTCTGCAGAAAAGGACCTGGGGATTCCAGTGGATGAGTAGCTGGATATGAGTCAACAGGGGGCCCTTGTAGCCAAGAAGGCTAATAGCATATTAGGGTACATTAGGAGGAGCATTGCCAGCAGATCCAGAGAAGTGATTATTCCCCTTTATTCGGCACTGCTGAGGCCACATCTGGAGTATTGCGTCCAATTCTGGGCCCCCCACTATAGAAAGGATGTGGACACATTGGAGAGGGTCCAGCGGAGGGCGACCAAAATGATGAGGGGGCTGGAGCGCATGACCTATGAGGAGAGCCTGAGGGATTTGGGTTTGTTTAATCTGCAGAAGAGAAGCGTGAGGGGGGATTTGAGAGCAGCCTTCAACTTCCTGAAGGGAGGTTCCAAAGAGGATGGAGAGAGGCTGTTCACAGTAGTGATGGATGGCAGAACAAGGAGAGACGGTCTCAAGTTACGGTGCGAGAGGTCTAGGCTGGATATTAGGAAAAACTATTTCACTAGGAGGGTGGTGAAGATATGGAATGGGTTCCCTAGGGAAGTGGTTGATTTAGTTGGGATTGGTCCTGCCTTGGGCAGGGGGCTGGACTTGATGACCTCCTGAGGTCTCTGCCAGCTCTGTGAGTCTATGAACTTATAACGCATCAGTTCCTACAAGCATTAGTGACTTTAGTGCAGAACAGATGTATACGGGGGCACCTTATAGCCCTGTACTGCAGAGCAGACCTTTGCCTGTTGTAAATCTAGGTAGCTCTACTTATTTTTACTCTAGTGGTGGCAGACCCTTAGCTGGTGATGTAAAGGGTGGTAGTGCCTTTGAAATCAGCAGAGCTATGACAATTTATCTATTGGAGATTTGCCTCCTGGACTTAATCCCTGCTAGCAGGGCTGTTTAGTGTGTAGAATGATTCTCTTTCCTTGGTGTTGTCCTACCTAGGCCATGAAAATCAACCCACAGAAAGACATGTGACAAGCTCTGGAGAGTTCTTCTCCCCAGCCTGTCTTTTCAGGATCCGATTGCTGGCCGCTTTTGGAAACCTCCTGGCTATAATGAGTTCGAGGGGAGAAGTGAAAGGACAGTCTAACAAAGGGCCTCCGGTGTCCTTTGTCTGTTCTGATGTTAGTGTCAGAGTCATCACTGACGTGGGCTGACACAAAATCAGAAATGAAGTGGATTAGGAGATTACACTTGGAGCAAATCCTGTCATGATAATCTTACCTGTAATCTGCAAGAGTTTCTTATTTTTCCTCCTTTCTATTTTAACCCTGAACTCTGGCTGCCATCTGGGATCCCATCTCAGGCTGTTCTTCATTGGCTGGAATAGGATTTGCCACATACTTAAATATCAGGTCCTGGTTTGAAGAGGGTTTTGCAATTTTAATTTTGCTTTGGGGAGTGTGAAACTCACTCTGGAGAAGGGCCTTTGGCAGCTCTGTAACCCATGACAGTGAACTAGACAAATCTTGTGCATGGGTATTTTGTTCCTCTAATTAGTGTTGCTCTTGGGACATCAACTGCTTTTGAAACCGAAAGGTAAAAAGTAGAATTGAAAAAAGCAAACAAACCAAACCGAACTCCCCACAACCGAGAAGGAGAAGCCTACAAAACTTCCATTGTTCCTGAAAAACGTGACCGTCTCTTTGTGTGGCAATGGGGAACATGGATGGGAAAGCCGTGGAAGAACTGAGTGCCACCGAGTGCCACCAATGGTACAAGAAGTTCATGACGGAGTGTCCCTCAGGCCAGCTCACCCTGCATGAGTTCAAGCAGTTTTTCGGCTTGAAAAACCTGAGTCCAGCATCAAACAAATACATTGAGCAAATGTTTGAGACATTTGACTTTAATAAGGTAAATATTACCGTCTCTGTCTAATATGTATGTACCTATGCGTATGTATGTTTTGATAGACAGACGGACAGATAGATAGATAGATAGATAGATAGATAGATTCTTCTGCTTTAAAGCTCTAGTTCATGATTAGTGGTTCCTAAGGTACTATGATAATACAAATGAAAATCATCATCATAATGTATAAATATGCCCTGTGTTTCCATTGCCTTATGTGTTCTGTAGTCATTTGCATCTGGGTCAAGGGGGTTAAAAACCACTACCAAATCCAAATTTTCCACTCACCAAAACCAGTTTTGGTGGCATTTTGCACAGCATTGTCAATGTCTGCACAATTTGCAAGGTGGCAGATAATCAAGTTCATAGAAATATATTTATGTGAAATAGAGATGTTAAATATTGGTTAATTGAATAGTCAATTAACCTCATGAATTCTTATTGGTTACTCGACTATTCTGTAGTCCCTGGGGGCAGGACCAGCAGCCAGTGCGCTCCAGCCCCACTCCCAAGGAGCCCCCTCTTACTCCACACTGCTGCCTCTGTATCAGAGGCAGCAGTGCAGGGTGCCAGGCAGGAGCTGGTTCGTGAGGGGAGCCAGTTTAAAAACCAGCTTCCCTCATGGATGGGGCTGCCTGTCACCCCATGCTGCCGCCTCTGATAACGAGGGAAGGGGGGGGGGGGGGGGGGTCTGGCATGAGCCAAGCTGCTGGCCAGCCTGCTAAAAAATGTACTGGCGGAAGAGGGGGAATGTTTGTAGCCTATAGCATTAATCTATGAGCTTTTGCTTATCCATTAATTGGTTAATCGACTACACTATTACATCCCTAATGTGAAAATATTTGACATGAATGTCCCATATGAGTCTGTTATATGAATGTAGCTGAAAGACAAGGGGATCTTTCCAAAAGGAATATTCCATTTTTCAAAGTTTAAATTATTTGAATTGTAGGTACAGATTGAACCTCTCTAGTCCAGAGCTCTCTGGTGCAGCATCATACATGCTCTGGCATGACATTAGTTTGCTGGGTGTCCACTTATTATGGGTATGGCCAAGTTTCACGCAGTCTCATAAAGTTTGTTTACAGCCCCCAGTCCTGGCTCCCAGTGTTCTGTGCTGTTCTTTAGCTCTGATTTACCCCTAAATGTCTTCTAAGAGCCCAGTAAACAGTGGAAGCATTGGTGATGCTGCCAGACAATATTGACCTCCTGTGGTCCAGTAAATTCTCTGGTTCGGCACCAGCCAGGTCCCAAGGGTGCTGGACTAGAAAGGTTCATCTGTACTTAAAAGACTTGAAAATGTTACTGAAAGTCTTTACGTCAGTATTTACATTGATTGACTAAGGCATCCCATGTTTGAATGTACACCTCATTAATGAATCAGTGGACAGGAAATACAGGTTGGTAATTAGGCTGAGCAGCTGTTTATACCTAATCAGGATTTTGTGACTGTGGAATAAAGCAGATGATCTGTTCTTTAACTGGGACCTCAGAGGCAATGGGTTGACTCCATGACAATAGATGGTCCGTAATTCCTGAGTATTTTGTACAATGTGCCATTTTTCATGTGAAGTATGTGTGGGACTATGTGGCAAATTAAGAAGTTGTGAATGCTGGAGATCACTACTTAGAGCCAAGACACCTCCTGCACAGCTGCTATGCAAATACATCTCAGTCCTGACCTATAACCTCCTCAGGACTAAGGACTCTCCAGCTGAATGCACCTAGCTATAGGGGATGATTTAGTAAGGGGCAAATGTAACTAAGCAGAAAAAATGAGGCTAAAAGTAGCCAGACCCAGGTTTCTAGAGGGGAAAGATTACAGTACAGAACTCCATGCTACATGCTCTTTGTGAATTCTTTTCTTCCCTTGACGTCTGCATGCAAATCCCATTAGCAGTGAAAAGAATTACATAGACACATGGCTGGGAGAGCGTTGGGTAACCCATCGGATTTAATCTGGATAAGCCTGTTCTTCTTTGCTTCCTGAGATAGCATTGTATTGCGTAAAGAGATTCCCATAGCACAGACTAGCTCTCTAGGTTTAATTCGCTTCTAAGCTGGTCAGATGTTTAAATTAAGGAAATAAATATTTTGCCAACCTACACACAGCTAGGTTTCCCATCACTGCTATTGGCCAGAAATCACTGCAGTCCATTGTATAATATTATTTATTATTATTATTTATTAATAAAATAATTCATCTGAACTTGCTTATGTTTTTTCACTAAATGATTTGGGTAAAGAAGAAGGATGGTCTAGTGGTTAGGGTCCTCTCCATAGAGATCTGAGTTCAATTCTCGACTTCACTCCAAACTTGTGTAAATTACTTTGTCTATGGTCAGTTTTCTCATCTGTACAATGGGGATAACAACACCACCATCCCTCAAAGAAGTGATGTGAAGATAAATACACAAAAGATTGTGAGGAGCTCCATTTACTACAGTGATGGGGGCCAGATAAATATTATCAATACCAAAAATAATTCTACAAATGCATTAGAAGCAAGAGGAAGACCACGGACAGGATAGGACCGTTACTCAATAAAGTGGGAAAATTAATAACAGAAAATGAAGGAATGGCGTGCTTAATGACTTCTCTGTTTTGGTTTTCACCGACAAGGTTAAATGTGACTCGACACCTAACACAGTGAATGCCAGTTAAGAAATGAAAAGAGGGAAAGAACAAGTTAAAAACTACTTAGGCAAGTTAGATGTCTTCAAGTCTCCAGCGCCTGATTAAATGTAGCCTAGAATACTCAAGGAGGTGACTGAGGCGATATCGGAGTCATTAGCGATTATCTTTGAAAAATCATAGAATATGGGAGAGATGCCCGAAGACTGAAAAGGGGCAAATATAGTGTCCATATATAAATAAGGAAATAAGGACAACACAGGAAATTATAGACTAGTTGTATTAACTTCTGTACCAGGAAAGAAATGGAGCAAGTAATTAAGGAATCCATTTGCAAACATATGAAAAATAATAAGGTGATATTATGGAAGAAAATAAGGTGATCTTGACAAATCCAGCATGGACTTGTCAAGAACAAATCATGTCAAACCAATCTGATAGCTTTCTATGGTGGGGTAACAAGCCTTGTAGATGGGGGGAAGTGGTAGATGTCATAATATGTAGACTTTCGATACGGTCTTGCATGCCCTTCTCATTAACAAACTAGGGCAATACAACCTAGATAGAGCTACTATAAGGGTGGCTGCATAACTGGTTGGATAATCGTTTACAGAGCGTAGTAATTAATGGTTCAATCATGCTGGGAAGGCATAACCAGTGGGGTTCCCCAGGGATTAGTTCTGGGTCTGCTTCTGCTCAATATCTTTATTAATGATTTAGATAATAGCAGAGAGTACACTTACAAGGTTTATGGGTGATATCAAGTTGGGAGTGGTTGCAAGTGCTTTAGAGGACATGATTATAATTCAAAATTATCTGGACAAACTGAGGGAATGGTCTGAGGTGAATAGGATGAAATTCAATAAGGACAAATACAAAGTACTCCACTTAGGCAGGACTGATTGGTTGCACACACACAAAATGGGAAGTGACTATCTAGGAAGGAGCTCTGATAGCGAACCACAAGCTAAATATGAGTCAACAGTGCCACATTGTCACAAACAAAGCAAACAGCATTCTGGGATGTATTAGTATGAGTGTTGTAAGCATAATTCAAAATTATCTGGACAAACTGAGGGAATGGTCTGAGGTGAATAGGATGAAATTCAATAAGGACAAATACAAAGTACTCCACTTAGGCAGGACTGATTGGTTGCACACACACAAAATGGGAAGTGACTATCTAGGAAGGAGCTCTGATAGCGAACCACAAGCTAAATATGAGTCAACAGTGCCACATTGTCACAAACAAAGCAAACAGCATTCTGGGATGTATTAGTATGAGTGTTGTAAGCAAAACATGAGGGCTACGTCTACACTGGCGGCTTCTTGTGCAAGAACTCTTTTGTGGAAGAGTTCTTGTGCAGAAAATCTTCCACAAGAGTGTGTCCACACTGGCATGTGCTTTTGCGCAAGAGCATCCATGGCAGTGTGGACGCTCTCTTGCGCAAGAAAGCTCTGATGGCCATTTTAGCCATAGGGGTTTCTTGCGCAAGAAATTCATGTTGCCTGTCTACACTGGCCTCTTCTGGAAGCGCTCTTGTGCAAGAGGGCTTATTCCTCATGAGGAGAAGAATAACTCTTCCAGAAGAAGCCCTGTTTTACAACGCTAGACTGTAAATTTACTTGCGCAAGAACACTCTTGCAGTGTACACAGCAGGCACGTTTTTGCTCAAGAAGGGCTGTTCTTGCACAAGAAGCTGCCAGTGTAGACATAGCCGAGGAGTAATTCTTCTGCTTTACTCTGCATGGATTAGGCCTTAACTGTAATATTGTGTCCGGTTCTGGATGCCATGTTTCAGGAAAGATGTGGAGAAATTGGAGGTCGAGAGAAGAGCAACAAAAGTGATTAAAGGTCTAAACAACATGACCTATGAGGGAAGACTGAAAGAATTGGGTTTGTTTAGTCTGAAAAAGAGATGACTTAGAGGGGACATTATAGCAGTTTTCGAGTACCTAAAAAGTTGTTATAAGGAGGAGGGAGAAAAATTACTCTCCTAAACCTCTGGTGATAGGACAAAAAGCAATAGGCTTAAATTGCAGCAAGCGAAGCTTAAGTTGGACATTAGAAAGCTTCCTAACTGTCAGGGTGGGTAAGCACTGGGATAAATTGCCTAGGGAGGTTGTGGAATCTCCATCACTGGAGATTTAAAAGTAGACTAAATACCTGCTTTCAGGGAGTGTCTAGATGGTGCTTAGTCCTGCCATGAGCGAGGGGACTGGACTTGATGACCTCTTGAGCTTCCTTCCAGTCTTATGATTCTATTTGAAAGTGCTTCTACACTTACTGGGCCAGATCCTCAGCATGTATAAATTACATCGTTTATTGACTTTGCAGGAACTACAGCCAATATACACCAGCTTAGGATTTGTTCCAGTAGTTAGAGAAAGGTAAGTAATATCCCAGTTTTATTACACACATGCAGTCAGCTGTTCCAATGCCAGGCAGAACCTTTAAAGCCATGACTCTCTGACTCCTCCTGGCCTCTGAGATAGCCCTGTTCTTTTGTTTTTTAGGATGGCTACATTGATTTCATGGAGTACGTGGCAGCTCTGAGCCTGGTCCTGAAGGGAAAAGTGGAACAGAAGCTGAGATGGTATTTCAAGCTGTATGACGTGGATGGGAATGGTTGCATTGACCGAGGAGAATTACTGAATATCATTAAGGTGAGAAAAATTTCCGCTCAGCCCGTAACTGTATTGTCCTAGCGCCTTGGAGATCAGCCATTAAACAAATATTCAAAGAAAGGCCACAAGGACGCATGCCCAGAGGAAGGACATTCCAAGCCAGCGAGGTAATTGCGTTCAGTCAACTGGCAAATTAGCAAGGATTGGCCAACTCTGTAGTCCACTCACAATGCTAGGGAAAAGGACCTGCAGGCTCAATTGGGTGTGACCTGGGACGTTGTGCAGTGGCTCGTGCCAAGCCAGGTGTTGTCCCGGCGGCTGTTCTGATGGACTGGAATCCCCTGGGCCTCTACAAATCTCCCGGTGTAACTTCCAGGTGTCACCTACAGCAGTCCAGGCCAGCCTGTTTAAATACATTCATTTAAGACGAGGCTGAGACTGGCCCTTTAATTGAAGCTAAGGATTTGAGGCAGGATTTCCAGAGGTCAAATGTCTGTGAATTATCCCAGTGCGCCTCTGTAACTACTTAATCTTTTAATGGACTTAATGTAGGTTAAATTGATTTGAATCTTTTTCTGAATGTACTTGGTAGAGGACCCATCCCCCACTGGATGAAAATTTGGTAATTTATACTACACCCCTTCGTTACTCACTGTCCAGGGATTTATCAATCTACACAACATGCTCGATACATGTTCTTTCTGTCCTCCTCTGCCTCCAGGCTATTCGAGCCATTAACCGATGTAATGAAACAATGACAGCGGAGGAATTCACAGACATGGTGTTCAATAAAATCGATATCAACGGAGACGGTAGGGATGGAGAGAGCACTGCTCTGACTAGAAACCCCCTAACTATAATTCTTCCTGCCAAATTACTACAAACTCCTGGCGAGCCCAAAAAAGAGAGCTGAAGATCTGGCCCATAAGCTTTAGGATGGGAGGGGAAATCTAGCCTTCAGTCCTTCTAAATTTTGTTCAGTGTCTCAACAAACAAGAAACTGGCACTGGGTAACCTGTCCGTTTCCTTCTCTCCCATTCCCCTTCCCTGAACTCTAAGTGTTCACACATTGCCTACTTTTAATCGTAGGTTAGAAGGTCCTTTGTCCACTAACCATCTGGGCATGCAGCAAGCTGTCTCTATTCGGAGTGGCTGGGGAGAAGGTGGGATTTAGCAAGCGACTGGATCTGTGGAGAGGATGTTGCACAGATAGTTGAACTTTATTTGGCAGGGGGCTGAGAACCTTGGCTCACCCTTTCTTATGTTGTGTCCACGTAGTTCCTCTGGGTCTTGCTCTGAAGGTAGGTGGAGTCAGCGGAAGCGGGTGAAGGATTTAACAGACCCCTCTTTGCCTGTGTCCCTGCCCACAGGCGAGCTCTCCTTGGAGGAGTTTATGGAGGGAGTCCAGAAGGACGAGGTGCTCCTTGAAATCCTCACCCGAAGCTTGGACCTGACGCACATTGTCCGGATGATCCAGAACGACGGGAAGAACCCGCAGGCCGCGGAGGAGACGGACAAGGCAGCGAAATAGACAGTTCTTTAAAAAAAAAACCTTTCATGTTATTGTCCAACAGTATTAAAAAACGGGGGTGCGGGTGGGGAAATTGGCAAGCTGTGCTACTGCCCCCATGACAAGAGCATCCTATGTGAGAATATCACCCTCGCCGGGGAGGCAGGAGCGCCTCCAAACACGTGACACCAATTGCCATGCAGTCCAGCAGTGACAGGAGCTATTCGGCATTGGGGGAAGGCTGCCCTGGCAGCCGTGGCCACCACTGCTGCCTCCGTAAAAGGGAGAGATCAGCATTTAAAGAGCACCAGCTGCCGAGCCGGCTCATTGCTCTGGAATCAAATGATGCCGGGGATTTCCCGAATGGTGCCTCCCGGGCCTTGTGCCAGCTGGGTGCCTCTGGATGGGGCTGCTCTTGTTCCGGGAGAGAAGAGAAGAATGTGTTCCAGGAAGGCGAGAGCAGTGTCACAACACTTTCAGAAGGCGCGTTGCTGCGGAGTAGAAATTCAGCCCCGTGCAAGGGGCCCCACAAGGTGTTCACTTAACTCTTAGACCTGCCTTCTTTAACACCAAGGCTCTATGAAATAAGGCATAAGGGATCTTTCGGAAAAGGCTTTATTTTCTGCAAGATCAGCATCTAGACTGGCGCTTTTTTCCGACAAAGCTCCGTGCGGAAAAAAAGCGGTAGCCATTTTTATGCGAATGAAGCGGGGATTTAAATCTCCCCCACTTCATTAGCATAAAAATTGTGATACGTCTAATTTACATCCCTTTTTACGAAAAAGGGATGTAGTCTAGATGTAGACTCAGAGTAAAATAAAACACACACATGCGCACAGAGCAGTATCCCGGGTCACATACGTGACAAGGAAAACAAACCCAATCTTTTTGACAGGATAATTTGTCTCCTTATTATGCCTTTGAAAGGAATAAAAGGGAGCTGGTCACCTAAGCAAATTGTATGTAGTGAAGTGGCAGGAGAGCCCGATGTTGCTTCAACAAGTTGCTTCAACAAATCACTTCACAACTCAAACGAGAGGGTGAAATTCAGGGCTCTTAGGCAGAGCTTGACTCTAGCGGAATAGTGGGGCATGGGTTTTGTGTTAACGTTCCTCTTGAAGTGTATTTTAACCTGGGTGAAATCTGCCCAGAGGGATAATGGGCTGTGGAGCAAAAATTGACTCTTGAGAGTGGCCAGTCTAATCTCTTTTGCTTTGACCCTGTCACAGGGCTAACTTTCCTGCTCCCTCCAGCAGGCAGGGGTAGTGCCTTGAGACTCTATATAAACTTCCTTTAACACAAGGCCCCTGGCCCAGGTCTTTACGCAAAGTCACCGGGTGGCCCTTTAAGGCAGGGCCCGCTGGCCGGAGTCTCTGGAGTCACCGGTTGGCCCTTTAAGGCAGGGCTGAAAGGTCTGCGACGGCAAGTTGCTGGGGAGAGAGGGGGAGGAACGACACCCCTAGTAGGGGGACCCAGGCCCACCCTATTCCACCGAGTCCTGGCCCAGGTCCCTGTGAGTGACAGGATGGCCCACCATTCCCTTGGCGGGGAATCCGGCCGAAATGCGCCAAGGTCTGCTCCTGCACCCTCCCAGCCACTTCCTACGTGGTCTGACAAGTTCTCCTCCCACATTCTTTCTGGGTCCTCTAATACCCCAGGGGCTGTTCCTTCCCTGTAGACACCAGTGGAGTCGTCCCAACGCGCACGAGTGGCTCGGCTGTCTCCCCTCCAGGCGGTTGGCTGGTACTGGGCAGGAGCTCCCCTCTGAGGTCCTTCTCCTCCAGCAGTCAGCTGAGATTGACCTTCTTCACAGGCTTTTATAGCTGGGCTACAAGCTGAGCATGCCCAGCAGGGTCATGGGGCCAGAGCTCCTTTAGACAGGGTAACCTGACTAAACCCTGTGGCTATGACTACACTAGCCGGTTCTTGTGCAAGAACTCCTGTGCAAGAATACGTCTACATTGCCATGTGCTTTTGCACAAGAGCATCCATGGCAGTGTGGATGCTGTCTTGTGCAAGAAAGCGCTGATGGACATTTTAGCCATAGGGCCTTCTTGCGCAAGAAACCCCTGCTGCACATCCACACTGCCCTCTTGCGCAAGAGCTTGTTAGAAAAGAGCATAGCTCTTGCGCAAGAAGTCCTCTCTTCCCACACTTTACTGTCAATTTTCTTGCGCAAGAGCGGGCGGGCAGTGTGGATCCTCTGTGGAAGAACGGCCGTTCTTGCGCAAGAACCCGCCAGTGTAGACATAGCCAATGTGAGTTCAGTGCGGGGCTGGCTTACCCCATCACAGACCCACCGTAACTCCCTAATAGAGGGGATTCCACAACCCCTGGGGAAATTATCTGGGTCCTCTCCTTCCATAGGTACGTTGAGACAACTGCCCTTTGGTAGTAGTAGCCCTGATGCTTGCCATGTAAACAGATGAGCCCAATGAGGTTATGTCCCTCATCCTTTGGTTTGAGGCTGTCTTTAAACTAAAGACAATGCACAGTTAATAAACCCCTACAGCATGAGCTGGAAAAATAAGTGTTGACAGTAGGGACTTTTTTTCTTCCTTTTAAAATGTAAAAAAACAAAAACCAAACATAAATGTGCCTTTTTGCTAGTGTCTGAATACTTGCATGGCCCTGTTTGTCCAGAAAGGAATTTGAAAAGGCAGCCATGACAGTGACTTCTTGTGCCCGTAGAAACACCTGTGTATGTCTCCTCTGTACAGAAAGGGCAATGAAATAGTGTCTACTCTTTGGTCTTGCAGAATACTTTCCTAGTTGACTATTGATCCCAATGAGCCAAATTTTGTTCTCTGTTATTCTGGATTTACACCAGTGTAACTCTACTAATTGGCCCAATTTTATAGGCAGGGGGAAGAGCTTTTTCACAGAAGATTTCAACCTCATTAATGATTCTTACAAAAAATTTGGAAGGGGAAAAATCCAGAGGCATACAACCTCTCTAGCTAAGCCAACTACAGTATAACATAATGTTTGGCAAATACCTTTAGAAAAGGTTGTTGGCGCGCGCGCACACACACACACACACACGATTTGTGAAGACTAACAATCTGGTCTCCAGTTTCCAGCTGCTGTGGGGATGTTTACATGTGTGATCTGGCCACTGCTTCTTGAATATAGACATTTGTGAGTGAGAATCATAGAATCCTAGAACACTAGAACAGGAAGGGACCTTGAGAGGTCATCAAGTCCAGTCCCCTGCCCTCAAGACAGGACCAAGCACTGTCTAGATCAGAGGGTGACACCCTCTGGTTTATTTTTTTGCATGCTGGTAGCCAGAATGCCCTCCAACTTCACAAGGCAGGTGCCTGAGCTCTGGGAATAACAAATGGGGTTTAGAGTGCTTTGAAACCAGTGGGTGTCCACTTCTAAGGTCTTGCCTCTGTTACAAAGAGGATCGATGCTGCAGTGATTGGTCCACCGGGGTCGATTTATCTTGGCTGCTTAGATGCAACAAATCAATCTCCGAGCACTCGCCCATCAACAACTTTGGTACTCCACTGTGACAGGGCGCCTGCCCTGCACTGGCCCTTTAACACCAGGACGCAGGCCCGGAGCCGGGGCTAGCAGAAAAGAGGCCAGCTGGAGCTAGTTGGGACTAGAGAGATAGTCCAGCTGGCAAACAACTAGGGCAGCACAACTGGCTTGTAGAAGCCAGCTGTAATTATTAGGGCGAGTGTGAGCCCAGCTGGGACGTATATATAGAGAAGCCCAGGTTGCTCAGGGGGGAAGCCAGTAGAGAGCTAACTGTGGAGGAGGCAAGAGCTCCTTGAAGGGAGATGAGCTGGGGATAGCTGAAGGAGGGCCAGCCAAGGCTCCCCTGGCTAGGGGCTGGAGGCAAAGCCCTGGATTGGAGGTGGACCTTGATGCAGCCTAGGTAAGCAGGGCAGGTGAGACAACCCTGATGCCTATGATGAGCAACCCATACAGACTGTATTTTGCCCTGAGAGGGGCTATATGAGGACAGTCAGGGGGCACTGAGGCACACTGGGGTGTGAACCCCCTGACATCCACAAAGACAAGAAGAGTAGTCAGAGTCAAGGCATTTGCATAGCTAAAGTTGTGTAAGATTGATTGATGGAGGAGGGAGGGTTTAGTGTAGATATGGCTTGATAATCAGATGACACCTGTACTGTCACTTTGCAAGCTCCAGTTATGGAAGGCTTGGCAGTGGGACTGGCTCAGATCTTTGTCCCAAGACTTCTCACACTCCTGCTGCTTTAAAACACAGGAATGTTTACTTGTGTGATTGTTGATTTCTTTGCTGGCAAATCAGAATGGAGCAAAGTGTCTAATTTGTATGTGGAGCCCACTCTGCCAGATACCCATGTAGGCTTAGGTATCAAACACAAGATCCAATGGAAGGTGACCTAGTTTAATACTTCTAGAAGGATTTGCTTTTTCCAACCCAGAGGTCTGCATGGATAATTTTGTGCTGGAGGAATGCACGTTACTGACAAGCTGGTGGATACATGATTTAATTTTCTGTGCTACCTTTTAGTGATTGCCCATTTTTTGTACAATGGTAGTGAAATGTCCAGGTGCAGTTCAAAGGAATCCATGGTTAGAGACAGGCCAAATGCAACATGACATCTTTCCCCAGTAATATTCAATTCATGTCCTTCCTGGAAACCATTTCCCATCTCTGCAGAAAAAGACTTGGGTGTGCTAATTACCTAATGCAATAACCTCTCTCTGTCTAATGCCAGGATCTAGGCAACATTTTGGCTGCCCCCTGTAACCATACTACACACAGGAAAGGTTGGTAATTAATGGATAACCAGACCCTGCTCTGCAGTGGATGAGTGGGGATGGCTGTTCATCATTTGCTCATCTCTCTTATGTGCACACGGGATGGAGAGTTGCTTCATCCCACAGCAGCAACAAACACACATGTGACTAGGCAACACTGCACACTGGAAGCAATTATTTTTCCCACGTTCGGTGTTTTGTTATTTAGCACTAGCTGTTGGCCATGTCTGAGCAGTTTCTGATTTTTCTGGGGTTTATTTGTGCATCTGACTGCATTTTGCCTCTTAAGTTTTATACTTCTGATCCTATAGTGTAATTAAAGAAGAAGTAAAGATATAATTTTGTAAAATTATTTCACTTGGGGCTTTTTATTTTTTTAAATCAACATTTCTATTCCCAGCAGGATATATTAACTCCCTGGTATACATCAAGAGCAATTCTATTCAGGGGATTAAAGCGACAATACAGCTTAACATGGTCCCAGAGAAGAGAGGCCTGTGGTTTTTGGACTCAAGATGGGCCAGATTCTGCTCCTGCCTTCACTGAACCCCATGTGGCTTTGGGGCTAGCTGACTGTACTGATGTTATTCTGGCTTCAAAAGGGTTAGTCAGTCTGGCTTCCGGTGCTCCAATTCCTCAGTTTCCCTTCTGCTACAGTTAATACAATAATTACCCTTCAGGCATCTTCCTAGTCACCCTGTTTCTGGAGTCTGGCTCATTAATAAAATTCAAGGCAGCCCAAATTTTCTACCTGCTGTCCCACTGCCTGTCAGCCTTTGGTACAGGGTTCCTAGACCTGTCTTTGTTGAGGCTTCCCCCTGGCTTTCAGAAATAGGCCTGCTCTTTGTAAGCCTTTTACCTTGGGAACTAAAGTG